GCTGTCTTTACACCCTGCTCTAATCCACTCTACCTCACTCCCCCTCCAATCCTCTCCTGCACGCCACACATTCTCCATTGTGCTCTAGTTTCTTTATGTGGCAGCAAGTGGTGTAAACCCTGTTTGGTGGGGGTATGCAGACGAACACGGACTCCCTAAACCTGAACATTAAACAGCACCAACGCAGATGGCTGTGAAACATCTCATCTACAGAACTGCAACAGGAACTTTTGAGACAACCTCTGAAAACGAAGTGGGAACATTTAGCTGAAACACACTTGACGCTTTCCTACCGTCAGAGAGGTGAAGGTCATGCACATGCCTCCGAACCCGTTCAGGGCCAGAGCGAAGAAGATCAGGATGGACAGATCTACAGAGAGGGAGAACAAAGAACACACTTTTGTACTTCCACACCTCTCATCTGCTGTACTGAAGCGTCAACGCCACATCACAAATGTCCCTGAGTGTTCTGGACACCCAGAACGTCAGCTGATTAGTGATGACTCGGGTGAGCATACGTACTGCTAGGATCACTGGCACCGTAGGCGATGAGGAGGCAGGAGAAAGCGAAGCAGGCACTGAGAACAGAAGAGGGTTGATGGAGGTGAAGGAAGAAGTGTTTGGGTACGTACATCACATCAGGTGGGATCTCCTTCCCCGGACTCACCTGCCCAGCAGCCGTAGCTTCCGTGGTCCATATTTGTCCATGACGATCCCCAGGGGCAGCGTTATGGCCGACAGCAGGAAGGAGCCCACAGTGAAGGCTAGGTTGAGCATCTCATCCTGGTCCTTGCAGATGGGCCAGTTATTCATCAGCAGGAACTCCTCCGCTGAGCCGTTAGACTCCGAGGAGGACGAGAGGGAGAGGTTGAGACTCGAGCTGTTGTCTGCATGGACAACAAGAATAGGAAGAGGCTGAGCTGTGCTGTAGAGCGTGGAGCTTCCCTACTGCACCAGAGAGTCCTAACCCTAACCCTCCATCAGCCCACCACTACACGATCAAGTAAACGGTTCAGAGGCAACAGCACAACACGATGTAAACAGGAACCAGAAATTGTCCCAGCTGGACCTCGGGATGGCGGAGGAGCTCTGAGTTCACGCGGAGTCTGTTTTTATCCTCGTGCTCCATCCAGAACAGAGAGGATGGCCGACCCCGGAGAAGTGCTCATCGCTCACAGGGAGCTGATGTTCTGTGACGAGTCCAGATAATAAAGAATCCATTGTTAGCATACGGTTAGCAAGAAAGGAACAATCAGCTAGATGTGTTTGTCTGGGGGACTTCAGCAGCTGAAGCCTTTCTGTTACTAACAAACACCCAAACCTGGGACTGCAGGGAAGAACGCCACCAGGAAGGACGTGTTAACGGGAGGCTGAGGGTGGACCCAGAGCAGCAGGAGGGGTTCAGCGTCATATGAAAAGCATCCTAATGTAGAAACACATCTAAGTAGGTGAAAGGCACCAAGGCGTCACGACCATCTAATGACTGTGATGATGCTCCAGTAAAAGCAGCAGAACTAATGGGATGCAGCGGTATAACAAACCTCTAAGGCACTGCATGCATCCCAGTAAACCCAGTATGACACAGTCTGAATGGAGTCATGTGGTCTGTCCATCAGCAACGACGACGGTGCGCGGACGTCGCTAATCTGACTCAGACACAGGAGGACCAGTCGGAGTGAATCTGATTGATAACGTATTTGAACATCTACCTCTGCAGCACCATCTACACGTGCTTCTTCTGTGTGTTTGTGTTGCATGTGTTCACCAAGATGTTTCTCCACCAACCGTCCTGTAGATTTGCTGCTTTTGCTTACAGGAGAACAACCAGACCACCATCAGAGGGGTTTTCATCTTTATAGTAACACGGTCTATGCAAGAGAACCCTGGGAGGAGCACTGACTAAATGTCACAGTCGAACCCACAGGTGAATGTTGATCAGTGGATGAATGAGCTGCTCTTCCTCCACGGCTGGTGCTGGAGGCCCAACGTGACGGTTGGTCTGACAACAGCAGCCGAATGCGTCCCTCAGCAGCTCTAACGCTGACTAATCAAGTGCCTGCTGCAAACCGGAGTCAATACACACACACACACACACACACACACACACACACACACACACACACACACACACACACACACACGCTCTAATCTGCAGCTGTGCATCAACTCTTCTCTCCAGGTGATTCACCACCAGTCCCATCCTGGGACCTGTGGCCTGAGCCAGTGGCATGCTGGCACCATCAGGGGAAGGGTTGGCCTGCAGCATCTGGTAAGCTGATAGAAGAGTGGAATAAAGTGAAGTTTTCCTCTTGTGAACAAAATTAGCTCACGAGTCTTTCATCTTTTTCCTTTGTAGTATAAAAAGGGAACAACAATCAGAAGGTGAAAGAGAGTAAGACGGATGTTGTTGCAGCTCTGGAGACCACTCAGACTGCAGATGGACTATCATTTATGACCTACACGGTCTGGAGCACTGGTGACCAAGTCCAACCACACAAAACCAAAGTCCTCAAGTGGTCTGATGTCCCTACACACTACTAAGGGCACACAGGGTGCAGCGGGCACCGACTCCACACATCAGCTCTGGTCACGGAGAGCTGAGGACAGAACCATCTTAAAACTAGCTCCTGCTTTGTTGTACTGCAGCGTTTCATCACGTGCTCACCAAGCTGTTCAGAACAAGTTCTACCCTGAACACTGGATAAACCAAAAACTCCGCTTCTACGAGGCATCTGTGTCCCAACGCATCCCGGTCTGTGCTGAAGAACTGGTTTAGAGCACTAGGGCTGCTGTGCCAAACGAAACTCAGGTCAAAGCACCTCCCTAGTGCTCGTTTTACACAAGTTTGCACAAAGTACCCAATGTGTGTTGCAATCATGTGTCCAGATGTAGCACGAGCCCTCAATAATTAGATTAAACTAAGGACAAGACGGACAGGACGTCTTGGTGGCTGTATAAAATGCACCTGTACAAAGGAAGCAACCAACGTAATGTCATTTGTAGGTGTGTTTTTCTTCTGAGGACGGAACGCAGACTCACCAGGTCTTGTGCAAAGGTAGGAGTAAAAGCCCTCTGACTTAAGCATGATGAGGAGGGACGACCAGCCAAGCAGGACAGCAGAGAAAAGCAGGTTCTCTATGACGGCTGTGACAGCCATCCACCAGCGGCGGGAGAAGGCTGTGGCCAAGGTGGGAGCCATCGCTGCAGGGCCGGGACTCGTGTAGGGCTGGGCTGGAGAGATCTGCTGCTGCCGTTCAGACACAAAGAGAACAGATAAGAAATCTTCTGATGTAATAGTCACGCTGTTTTCTCATGACCTGCTTATAGAGTGCTCCATAGGATCTGTGGGCCGCACACCAAAGATGTGTTGCTTGACGGAAAAGCTGCTTTATGTCACTAGCAGCTGTGGGAGATGTGTTCTCAGACAGGATGACACAGAGGTCTTTGTTTGTGATGATGGTGAAGAAGAACTGTAGTAAACAACTTCACTATTACACACCACCCGCAACCCGCCCACTGAAACGTCTGCTTGTGTTAAAGCAGCAGTCCGGAGTTTCCCGTCAGGAGTTCAGGAAGATGTGTTAGAAACCATAAAGTGAATAGTCTTATCCTCTACTATCATATCTGGTAAGCCATATTTTACTCAGGCCGTCCCGTAGAACCACATGTAATTTGAACTGAGCGCCGCTTAGCATTAGCGTTAGCTAATAGCATTAGACATCCGCTTACATACAGATGTTAACCACAGAGCAGGAGCGCGCATCTGCAGGAATCAGAGCAGGAGCGCATCTGCAGGAATCAGAGCAGGAGCGCGCATCTGCAGGAATCAGAGAAGGAGCGCGCATCTGCAGGATTCAGAGCAGGAGCGCATCTGCAGGAATCAGAGCAGGAGCGCGCATCTGCAGGAATCAGAGCAGGAGCGCATCTGCAGGATTCAGAGCAGGAGCGCATCTGCAGGAATCAGAGCAGGAGCGCGCATCTGCAGGATTCAGAGCAGGAGCGCGCATCTGCAGGAATCAGAGCAGGAGCGCGCATCTGCAGGATTCAGAGCAGGAGCGCGCATCTGCAGGATTCAGAGCAGGAGCGCGCATCTGCAGGAATCAGAGCAGGAGCGCGCATCTGCAGGAATACTTAGGCTGATGCGGAGTTGGCACCATTTCTTATGGACACGTATAACAAACAGTTTTTATGAATAAACAGCATTACGTGGGAATACTAACTGTCAAACAACGTGTTTTAGCTTGTTGTGCCAGCTAAAGGTGTGCGTTAATGAGCAAGAGGCGTTGTTTCCAGCCATAATCACGGATGTAGGGAGGGGGGCTTACAGTGCAACACATTATTTCTGCCTCTGAGATAAAAACTACAGAATTCTGCTTTAAAGTTGGAATTGTGTCCTTGTTGGATGGTGCTATGGGACTGTCGCTGTTTTCACTCTTAATGAAAGAAGAAAGTGGAAAATTGTGTTTACTGCAAACAAAAACCATATTTTAATGCAGAACTGTTTTATGGTCCGAGCCATCAAATTACACAAAAACGGCACAGAGCATCCCCGCCTCCTCCTGCTGCTGAAAGGTGCAGCCGTGCTGTGTTTTCAGACAGCTCATTACGTCTGCACATGTCTGAAAGGGAATACTTGAACATACATCAGCGACGGATTCAACCAACACCTGGAGAAAATGTGTCTGAGGTGCATAGTTTCATTTTAGGCCCAATCCCAACTCTCACACCTCCACACGGACGCCCTTCAGTTACACGACCCCAGCCAGGGCTGCGAGCGCGTAGGCCGTCCCGAGTCTCAAGTACGGAAGTGGATCACGTCCCTTTTGCACCCTTGATCCACACTTGGTATTACCCACAATCCATTGCTGCGGGAGAAAAAGCTCAAGTGCCTTTTCTGAAAGGATCTATTTTCAAATGAAAGTAGTTAATTTTAGGAATTGGTGCTCTGAATGGTTTAGACAAAGCAGCAGTTGATGTAAAATTATTTCAAATTATTGTTTGGATGTTTGCTTGAAAGTTGTTAATAAAGTTTTTTTTACGTAGCACAGTTACCAGCATCCAGCATGTGTTGATGATGCAATGCCCCTGACCCATTTGGCAATCATATGCACACTTGTGTGCAATGTACTTGATTCACTTTCTCCAAGTGTACTTGGGGCGGGGCTTTAGACTGGAGCTGGAACCAGCCACTAGGGGGCGCTTGAGCTCTTTTAAGCTTCAGTATGAGTTAACAAGTGGCAATGGGGCAGGTACAAGGTGTTCCTCCTGTCCTGACACAACTCGGGTCGTTAACAGGTCACGTTTTATAAACTTATACCATGAAAAGCTCACATGGTTAGGAACGTTCTTGGGTTATCTGTGGCAGAAATGGGAAAAACAAATTCACGCCAGTTATTATCTGGAATTCAACTGGAAAAGCAACAAAAGGTTACGATGGTGGTTATTTACAGGCTGCAGAAACAGCTGAAGCTGCACTGGTCCAGGACATCGTGTAACTGGTCCCATTGAGTCTAGTTTATCCGTTTAGTCAGAACTGATTTCTGTTTCTTCTCCAACGGCTAAATATAACAGGTGAGGATCTGTGGGATCAGGTCCCTGACCCTGACCTGTGTGTAAGTTAAACACCATCTGGAAATAAAAGTGAGGAATGTGATTTGCTGTGAGCAGCTCTGCAGAAGGCAGCTGCTGTCGGAGGTGAACTTCATGGCAGCCTGAGCTGATGAAGAAAGAACTGCCTCAGAACTGGTCTGAACTGGACTGAAATCATCTGCACCCCCACCCACCTCTAGCTGCTGCTTCTCTTGGTGCCACAATGACAGCATCACAGCTTCCGGTGGGCTGTTCGAAATTAAAAGACTCGCCCAGGACCACGCTCTCTACTGAACGGTCTGGGCATTTAGGTGGTTTTTATTTTGAAAGTGCTTCCCGACGTTTCCTGCAGAACACAGTGCGTTTGACTAACCGCTCAGCTGTTCGGTGTAAACAACGGGAGGAGACTACATCCTGCCTCTGGAACAAAGACTCATCAGAGTTTAACACAAACTCCAACAGAGCAGATCTGCGCACCCACACGGGTTTCCCCTCCACAACATCTGAAATAACACCACAACACTCCCAAACATCCACGGTTGTGACTCTGAGGCGGCTGATGACGTGATCAGTCAGTATTTGTATTAAAATAAAACTATGTGGCAGCACATGTGCAGGATCGGTGAGGAGAACACCGAGTCCCGGGGTTCACCTGCAGCCCCTGACCCCCACAGACCTCCTGGCATCGTTTATGTTCAAACGCAAACCACAGCACTCATCTCCCCCCGATACGAGTCTTCCTCTGCTGGTCCGGTTCGTGTCGGGGCTCCCGGTGCGCGGAGCATCACCGCTGAGTCTCACCTGAGCGCGCGCGGAAGCCAAGTCCCTCAGAGTCGCTCTGCGTCACCGGAACCACAACGGAGCAGAGCAGAACAGGATGTTCACCTGCGGGCTGGAAGTCAGTCTGATATCTTCAGTCAGGGTTGGCGCTGCTGCTGCTGCTGCTGTCATTTCTGCGTCTTATAGCAGCTGCAGCGTTCCTATTGGCTCCTGGCTCCGTTAGAGACGGAAACCGGCCAATCACAGCGCGCTGTTGTTTCTCAACCGTCTCAACCAGAGCGAGCAAAAGTTTGTGGGTAATTAGGTAAAAACACGCAAACCCGTGGGCATTAAGGCTAGTTCTGCCAGAAACACGTTAGTGTTGCCTAAAGGAGAGCGTTACCGCGGAGGGCGCTGTGTGGTATGCTAATTATGTCCTCCTAACTTCTAACCCATCAGATAAAAGCTGCTGTCCAGATTCCTGCTGTCAGTAAACAGGATGACGCTCGTGAGTGATGGGACCGGCACGTGCTCGCTCCTCCGCTCCGTACCAAACGTGAAGTCCCAGTTCCTGGAAAGCCCAACGGGAAAAGTTCACTCAGTCCAGCAGCTGGTGGGCACGAGGGCGACACCTGCTGGTGGGCACGAGGGCGACACCTGCTGGTGGGCACGAGGGCGACACCTGCTGGTGGGCACGAGGGCGACACCTGCTGGTGGGCACGAGGGCGACACCTGCTGGTGGGCACGAGGGCGACACCTGCTGGCGTCCGAGGCGCAGCACTGCCAACACACTTGATACACAGTGGACACGTCATAAACAAACAAACAACACACGTTTGTTTACAAACAAAATGTACTTAGGCCGTGACGTGCAGCTATGGGAGGGAGGAGCATCACAACAACCAAGTAAACAACTTCTGATGTTTGACTCCAAACTGTAAAAGCAGTGAAAGATGTCTCAGCAGAGGGTCAGCAGTTGTTCTGCGGTGGAGCTGCTTCTGAAACCTGCGCTGTGGTTTTCCCCACAGCCCTTCCAAACACGCTAGTTAAATGAATAATTGTTCTCTCCTGGTCTTTAAAACTACATTCTCTTCAGGGTCTATAACTTCCTACTTGAGGTGTTTCCACATCTCCTGCTCCTGACCCACAGGTCATCATTTCAGCCTTTTACACTGTAAAATCTGATTAGTTCAGCTTACTGTAAAAAAGCATGCAGGCTCAGGGCTGCCAACTCTCATGGATGACATGCCTTCATTCAACACCCCCAGTTTACACAAACATTAACGTATCTGAACTAAACATGGCGTCGCGCTACTGTACTCTCTCCCAGCTACAGTTCAGGTTTTAATTGACTCTGTATGAGCGAGAAGGGGATTTGACGCCCTCCAGTGGTGAAAAGCTAGAACTAAACTCTGGTTCTGTAGAATATTTTACTCTCCTTGTCTCAATGAAGGTGGAAGAATGTGTTGACGTTTTTTTTTTGTCCTCTTGTGAAAATTAAGGAGGAGGAGGAGAATATGACACTGCACTTATAAAGTCACAGTGGTTAGTAGAAATAAACACTTTTTGTACATTCTTGGAGCGATGCTGCTACAGCGTTTTGGCGTTAGCAACACGGTCTTGCTCTAATGGTCTTCTTCTCTTTTCATTTAGCTACAAACAGAATTTTTAATTATATTTATGTAAACACAGCGGTTGTGTGCAGTGGGGGACTCACCCGGAGCGCCGGGATGTGAACGTTTCCTTCCTTTCTGATTGGCTCATGGGTCCCACAGACATCCAACATTGAGGTCAATGTCTCCGTTGGGTCTCATGAATGGGACTAGATTCTGGTCACCCTGAATCTCAAATATTGTTACTTCATGAAAAATGATAATGTTTCACGTAATTTGAGACTTTTTTGCTTGTAAAAATTTGCAGTTAAAAAGACTATAAAGTTTGTTCTTTGTCTAAACAAGATCATTCTGGCCTTGTCGTTTGATTTGATTGATGGATGCACTCTTTGGGATTTAGACATTTGATTTAGACCAACTAGATGGAAACAGACAACTCAACCCTTTAGTTTCTGGCTTTTGAGAATCAGGATTTTTCCACCCTCTGCTGGAGAGAAATGGTTACTACAGCACTCACTGCAGATTCATTCAAAATAAAACAATTCACTTAAAAATGACTGATTTATATGTTAGTGTGGCAAGGGGGAGAAACAAGGGCTTGGGCGGGATTCGATCCCCAGATTCTCAGGTGAGAGTCACGTACGCTAACCAGTCAGCCAAAGGGACATCCCTTTGGCCAAGCAGCCAGGGCGCCAGTGGCGTGTCCAGATCTTTTAAAATGCGGTGGCCCAGGTGAGGCACAACTTGCATGGGTGGCACCAATGGTTATGCTTTTTTTGTTTTACCCCCAAGCCTTTTGTGGACAATGAAAAGCCTATTTAAAGATAAATTAGTGTGGTGGCACCTGGGGTGGCCAATAAGATTCCAAGGGTGGCATGTGCTACCCCAGGCCACTCCCTGGACACGCCCCTGCAGGGCGCATGATCAATCTGGACACAGTGACAGGATGCTCACACTGTCACATCAGCGTTAACAACATAATCCATATCAGGGGTCACCAACCTGGTGCCCCCAGGAACATATGAAGGGCCCTCAGGCCATTTCTCTAAATAGCACAAGTCTAACATAAATTAAAAAAATTAAAAAATTGCTGCTATTTTTTTTACCGCAAACACTTTAATATAGATTTTAAAACAACAAAAATCTTTTACAAACATTAAAATATGTTTATTATGTATAAAGATCAGTTAATTCTGATCTATTCCATTTCAAAGGTCAGTACTGTGTCAGCTGGTAATAAGGTTGAAGAGGCAAAAATGGATGGTGCATGTGTATGGGGTACATTAAATGAACTATTGGGAAAGAAAGCTAAAACAATCCCACTTTTTTTAGAAGTCAGTGGGGTCTTTATTACAAAACCCAAACTTATCGCCACACATTTAAGCAAAATCTTTAAGGACAAAATTCAAAACTGGAAATCTTCTTTGAACCAAAAACAAGATAATGACGTTCCAGGTAGAATAATAAAATGGATGATGGGGAGTAAAGGATGTACATTTAAATTTTAAAAAATTACTGATCAGACTGCTAAGAAAATTTTGTAAACAAGTAAAGTTACACAATCAGGCATTGATAATATTGAGGTAAGGCTCCTGAAGTTAGCAGCAGACTTTATTGTTTCCCCGGTTTCATATATAATTAATTTAAGTTTGGAGCAAAGTGTGTTTCCTTCACAGTGGAAAAAAGCAAAAATTATTCTGCTGATTAAAAACAATAAAGAGCCATTTTCAGGTCAAAATAGTAGACCAATCAGTTTATTACATGCCTTGAGTAAAATCATGGAGAGGGTAGTTGATGAACAAATTCAGTGTTATTTCTTGGTGAATGGGTTAAATAGAATATATCAACATGCATATAAAAGGGAGCACTCTACCACCACAGCAGTAACTCCGATCACACATGATTGGTTGCAACAAATTGACAATAAAAACCTAGTTGGAAATGTGCTGCTTGATTTAAGGGCAGCTTTTGATGTTTTAGACCATAACGTGCTTCTTAAAAAGTTCAGGTGTTATGGATTGGAACCTTCTTCTGTAAAATTGATTGACAGTTATCTCTGTGATTGAGAGTATACCGTTTATTTTAATGGCAGCTACTCTGAGGCTGAAAGGATGTGTTGTGGAGTGCCCCAAGGTAGTTGTTTAGGACCTTTGTTGTTTTCCATTTTTATGAATGACTTGCCTATGGTGTTGGACCGTGCCGCCATGGCAATTTATGCAGATGATAATACATGATACGCACCAGTGAAAACAGTATTACAACTTAATATTGTTCTAAATAAGGAACTATAATCTGATGGTAGATGGAACACAGCAAACAACTTGATAATAAACACAAATAAGACTAAATGTATGGTCATAGGATCTAGACATTTTTTAAAATGAATCCAATTTTAAGTGTGACCTTAGATGGTGCTATTATTATTATTGAACAGGTTGATGAGTTTCAGTTATTGAGTGTTATTGTTGTTAATAAACTATCTTGGGTGAATCATATTAACTATATTTTGAAAAAAAAAGGAAGAAGTATGGCTATTATTAGACATTGTAGGAAATTCATTCCATTTCAATTAATAAAGCTATTAGTTCAGTCATGGGTACTTTCTCATTTAGATTGTGCCTCTGTGGTTTGGTCCAACACCAATAAAAATAATCTAGATGAGTTACAAATTGCCCCAAACAAGGCAGCGTGCATGGTACAGGGGAGTCCGTACAGACCCAGTGTAAATCTGTTGCACAAGAAGTTGACCTGGCTAAAATTAAGAGAGGGATTGGAGTTTTCATTCACAATGTTTACTAGAAATATTACGACAAAAACCCCAGACGTAATTTATTGCACCTTGTCTTTTTTGCGGATAAACACGATTATTCCACAAGACAAAGTATGCACGGACGATGTGTGTTACCTGCACGCAGAACAAATCAAATGCAGATAACTGTGGTCTCTCGTGCAATGGTGCTATGGAATGCACTACCAGGATTTCTGTTGAGGGAAAGTGATAAAAAATGTTTTCAGAAAAACTCCAAATATTTTTATTTTACCAAAGATGTCAAGCTAAACATCTTCTGAAGTGAGCTGTATTTCAAGGTTTAAGAGTGCATTTTGATATATTTGGGTTTTTGAGAATTGAATTGTGATTTTTCTATACTGCAATTTTATGTTGAAATTAGTTGGGTGTGTGTGTGTGTGTGCGTGTAGGTGCGTGTGTATGGACATGTATGAACGATGTGCACAATACGTGTATATACATGTATATAAAATGTAATGATTGTATGAGATGAGACCCCAGGAAGGATAGTGGCTGTATGTCAGCTGCTAATGGGGATCCAAACAAACAAACAAACAAACAAACAAACAAACAAACAAACAAACAAACACTTCCGACCGTTATAACTCAGACCAGTGCAATCTACAAAGGTTCTTGGATGACACGGCCATCATCAGATGTGCATCAGATGGGAACAATCAGGACTACAGTGAGGGTCATAGGTGACTTTGTTGGATGGTGTGAGACCAACACTCTTCAGATCAATGCCAGCAAGACGACGGAGATGGTCATAGACTTCAGGAGGAAGTCACCTCCTGCAACAACGATGGACATCCAGGGAAACGACATTGAGAGAGTGGATTCTCGCAAGTTCCCAGGTGTTCACCTCAACAATGAATCAAACTGGTCTGCAAATACAGACACCTTGTATAAGAAGGGCCAGAGTCGACTCCACCTGATGAGGAGACTGAGATCCTTCGGAGTATGCAGGACTCTGTTAAGAACTTTTTATGACTGGGTGGTGGCACCTGCCCTTTTCTATGCAGTGGCCTGTTGGGGGAGCAGATGTACGGACACAAGAGCAGGATGGACAAACTGGTGCGGAGGTCCAGCTCTGTACTGGGATGCCCTTTAAAGTTTGTAGTGGTGCTGGGGGTGACGGGGTGGGTGGGTGGGTGGTGGTGGGGGGTGGGGGTGGACATTCATGATGCAGTTTTTCTCAGTT